ATACAATCCTACTCCTGCATGCACACAGCTCTCTTTCTTAACACAGAGATAAAATTCATAAATTCTGTCCTCTTTACTACTGGCTCCACAGCAGTACCGCTTCCTGGGTCTGGTCCTATAGAGTTATAACCAAAAAAACCAACCAAACCTGTTGCAATCAAGTCGATTTCAACTCATATTGACCCTATAGGACAGAGAAGAACTGTCCCGTAGGGTTTCTAAAGAGCGGCTGGTGGATTCGAACTGCCAACCTTTTGGTTAGCAGCCAAGCTCTAAACCACTGTGCCACCTATACTGATGTGATAAGTAGATCTAAATGGTTTACCCAAAGCGGTTGCTTCATACTAAACATGCTAGTAACACTTTCTGGGTATGATTTCTCCCATGATGTTAAAAGCTGATTACTGATCACAATGTAATATTCATATAAAAATCTCCCAACTCTGTTTCCCTGGATCTTAACAATACATGGTCTTGCTATATTTTTTTAGAGCAGAATTAGACCTCTTGGTAGATGCAACTATACCAAGACATAAAACATATCATTAACTTCTTTTGAGAGAGAGAGCTATTAGTTGTATCACAAACATAATAAAAATGACAAAAAGGAATATTAAAATTTGAAAGCACTTAAGCATTTGGTTGAGGATGCATAAAGTTGAAACATAGTGATTCTAAAAGGGACCCTGGTGGCACAGTGGTTAAGTGCTCAGCTGTTAACCAAAAGGTTGGCAGTTCAAACCCACCAGCTGCTCCATGGGAGAAAGATGTGGCAGTCTGCTTCCATAAAGATTACAGCCTTGGAAACCCTATGAGGCAGTTTAGCTGTGTCCTGCAGAGTCACCAGGAGTCAGAATTGACTTGACAGCAAGGGGTTTGGGTTTCTGAGAGGTTTGGAAAGGTCTTTAAACCAGCTCTTAATTCACCATTCCGTGCATGGCAATCATTTTACCTAAGAGCACTCTCTCTATTATAATAAAAGCTAATGATAATAACTTATCGAGAATATTATTCATACCAGGCACTGTTATGAGTGCTTTACAAACACGTTTAATATTTACAGCAACTCTGAAGTAAGTACTATTATGCATATTTTACAGATGGAAAAACAGAGACAGGTATTCTGGCTCTGGAGCCCTCTCTTAAACTCTATGATATAGGCCAGAGGTTGGCAAACTGTGGCCCAAAGTGCAAATCTGGCCCTCCACCTGTTTTTGTAAATAAAGTTTTATTGTAACACATCCATGTCCATTTGTTTACATATTGTCTGTGGTTGCTTTTGGACTACAAAGGCAAAGTTGAATAGCTGTGACAGAGATCATATGGCTTACAAGGCCTAAAATATTTACTATCTGGCCTTTTACAGGAAAGGTTTGCCCACCCTTGATAGCAACTTTAAACTCCACTGAGAGACTGCGGATTGAAAGGGGAAGAAATAACGCCTTATAGTAATACCACCGGTTGCCATCGAGACGATTCGGACTTATGCCTACCCCATGAGTGTCGGGCTAGAACTGTGCTCCATAGGGTTTTCAGTGGCTGATTTTTTTAGAAGTAGATCTCCAGGCCTTCCTATTTGGCATTTACAGTAGATTTTTTACATATTTATATCATTTAACTCGCATCATATCCCTATGAAGTAGGTAAAGACTTTTTATTTCCATTTTAGAGATGAAGAAATTGGGATTATAAGAAGTTAAACACACACCATAGACTAGACAGTAAACCCCATGAGTCTAGGACACTCACTGGGCACTCAGTGACTATTGCTAAATAAATGACTGTTGTAAAGGTCACCCAGCTAGAGAACCCAGGTCTCCTCCTATTCCAGGGTTCTTCCTCGTGACCCCACAGCTGCATGACAGTGGAAAGAGGGACTTTCCCTTGTGATAGAATTAAACATGGGATAGATGACACGTCATTCTACTATGGATTCACAAGTTTTTGCTGTATATTCCTCCGCCTCCTCCTCGTCTTCCTTCTTCTTAGTCACAGATCATCTTAGTTCAGACCAGAGGGCTTTTTTTTCGCCTCAAATGCATGGTCACACCCATGAGAGTTTTCTTGTGCTTGTGATTGGTGCATTTTTAGACAAAATTAAAACAGACACCCTCATGTGATGGTGGTCACATGGAATCTGGGTTTGGGATGGCTTTCCAGTCTGAGCCCCACCCCACTCTCCTCCCAGCGCTTTGACCCACCTCCCACCCAGTGATGAGTCATGGGGCACAGCAGACTGCCCTTCCGAGCGCAACTTGAGGCTTTGTTTTCTTTCGTCTTGCTTTGTACTGGTCATGAGAGGCTAAGGGTATTAATAGACCCTGGGCTCAACCTCCTCAATCTCACTGTTGGTCAGGGAGATAGATGGAAGTTTTGGCCAGTCCCTTTTTGCCATTTTTCTCTCCTTTCTTGAGTGTCATGTGCTGGCTGGTGGCAGAGCTGATCCAGAAAGGCAGAGGGCGTTCTGTGCAGTCACCACCTGTGGACGTGGTTGGTCTCTGCTGATGTTTTGACTTCTTGCCCGTCTTAGCGGGCACCAGGTCGGCACCTGACTTGCAACCTTGGATCGCCGGTACTAAGCTTAACAAGTGATCCTCAGCTTTTCTCACCTCTTCCCGGTCAGGCGACCACGTCTCTCCCTGCATGTATGGAAGATGCATAAACCAGACAAGAAAAGGGTTTTGTGTTTGTTTTCTTTTTCTAATGTACAGTAAAATCATGTCCAAGTTTCTGGAGCCATTGAGGCTGAATGAACCCCTGAAACTATTGCCCTGAGATAAATCTTTAAACCTTAAACCAGAAGTATTGTTTACCAAACAGTAGTTAAGCCTAAGTACTTAAGTAGTAAACAATAGTTTAGCTTAAGTAGTAAAGAATATCTGCCTTGAGCATTGTGCTCTTTTAAAGAACTATCTGTATGGGATCAGACTATCTATATGGGATTAGATAGGAAGCTTCAGGGGGCAGTGTGTTTGTGTTAATGAGAGGAACAGTTTGGAAAAGGAAGGTGCAAATGGTTGCACAACTTGAAGAATGTAATCAAAGTCACTAAATTGTACATGTAGAAATTGTTCAGTTGGTGTATATTTTGCTGTGTATATTTTCAACAACAATTTGAAAAAAATTGTGTCCAAGAAATTAAAAATCTATATGTGCCTTGACAGCCTCCTAAAGGACTTGTTGGGGACAAAATATTTAAACATATGCAGTGGAAGCAGAGGTGCTCTGAATTGCTGAGGCTTTGATCCAAAAATTTCTGGTCTCTTCTGCATTCCAATTTTTAACCATGTCACTTTCCTGGTTCTGTTTTGGTCTTGGGTCAGCACCCAGTACAATGCATATTCAGTGTTTATTTTCCTTGAAGTGGAGGTTGGGCTGGGGTCTGACCGGGAGAGGAAACTCCTTGCAAAGTTTTGTAGGAGCAGAGATTCAAATTCTAATGCAGAGGAGAGGGTCTTGCTTTTCTTCATCTAGTTTACTTTATAAACTGTGGTTGTGGGGCTGATGGGTTCTGATTAAATGAATTATATTCACTTTATAGCAACCCCTTTTTTTTTTTATAACTCTTGGAAAGCATGAGATGTGTCCATTTATTTTCCTGTGTTGAGGACTCTGCTGAGTCCTTTTGCTGGTATAGGGTGGTTGGTAAGGTTTTATAGTCTTTGGAGCCCCACTTCACTCATCCATTAAGTGAGTTGAACTAGGGGATCTCTAAAATCTTTTCCAATCTAAAGTTTTATTTTTCAACAATAGAATATTTTATTTATTTATTTATTTTATTTAATCTTGCCACATCTGTAAAGAATTTTGCTGTAGAAGGGAAGAAAGGTTGGCCTAAGAAGGCACCAACTTAACTTATTATCTTTAGTTTTTTTTATTTGGGGATGGTGAAAGGTGGTAGGAATGATATATACTCCTTCAACAAACAAGCCAACCTTTATTTAGCACCTAATTACTTCAGACTCTATGCTAAGGATTTATGTGCTTTCCTCATTTAAAGCTCATGACATCCTTGGGGACTCTAAGTATTATTAGTATAGATGAAGAAACTGGGGCACCAAGAAATGTAACTTGCCCATAGCCACAGAGCTAATAAGTGGTCAAATCAAGACTTGAACTCAAGGCTAAGAGCTACAAGAACCTGAGCTCTTAAAGCCACTATAATATCATTGCCTCTAAGTAGAAATGTGTATATATACTATAAAACAAAATAAACCAGTTGCTGTCGAGTTGACCAGCTACAAGTCATGGCGACCTTGTGCTCCATAGGATTTTCAGTGGCTGACTTTTTGGAAGTAGGTCGCCAGGTCTTTCTTACAAGGTACCTCTGGGTGGACCCATACCTCCAGCCTTTCAGTTAGCAGCCAAGTGCTTAAACATTTGCACCACCCAGGGACTTCAAATATACCATACTTCCTAGATTGTTCTCTCTCTTCCTGTGATTGGTCTCTTTCTCCAAAAAGTTAAGAGCAACAAGAGATTCTAATTAATAGACATTTCTGCTGAATGCTGTATAAGCCACGTTATCTGGATAAGAATGGCCACTTCCTTGGGCAAGGCACATCACTGCTTGAGCTGTTAAGATGCCTTGACAGCAGGCAATGCCAATGGGGAAGAAGTTCACGTGGGAGCAGAAGAATTCCTGCTGGGGATGATTATGCAGAAATCAAACATTTCACAGGTCATGGGAGGTTTCATTTCCTTCAGAGCAAGTCAGTTCCACTTGCTGAAGTAGGACAAGTAGAATGTTTGGCTGAAGCCAAATCTCTTTAGATTTAAAAGAAAAAAGCATTAAATTCTCAGCCTGATTCCTGGGTTTTGAATTATGCCTGTTTCTTTCACTCTGAGCATCTGCTTTTGATTGCACCGAGGCCCTGCCTGTCACTTACCTCCCCCCCCAACCAAGTCTGTATCTACGTGTCATGTGACTCAAAAGTGAAGATTAGAAGGGAAAAATATCTCTGTATTCTAAGCCTGGCAACTTCTATTTTTATCCACAGCTGTTAGAACTGATAGCAAAGTCACAGCTCACATCCCTGAGTGGCATCGCCCAAAAGAACTTCATGAACATTTTGGAAAAAGTGGTACTGAAAGGTGAACTCTCTCGCACTCTCTCACCCCTTTTTATCTGCATGGGGGTGGGGTGCGGCTTTTCCAACGGAGCGCACGTGGCATTCGATTTAAAGGAGTGTGAGTGGATGGAAAGGCATAACTCCAGATGCACTTCAGGGGTACCAGATTCCAGTTCAGAAAGGGGTGCGACTCATGCCTGTAACACAGGTGAGACCATCACCCTCCTGTCCTTGCACTGAGATCATCCATCTGCCCTGCTATGAGCCTTTTGTACTTCTCACTGGAGGCACGTGCCCCGACCTTGGCTTCTGAGCCTCAGGATTCCAAATGCCTAGAAAAGCAAGCTGTGTAGAGGGCAGAATAGATTCATAAGCTATTTGAACTAGAAGGAACCTGAGGTCTCTGGCTCAACTGAGTCATTATAAACATGAGGAAACTGAGGCTTATGAGAGGAAGTGATCTGCCCATGATCACAAGGAGAATTAGGCAAACGGGACAAGAGCCCAGACTCCTAGCTCCCAGGCGCTGCTCTTTCCTTCTTCCCCATTCACCGCTGGGCAAAAAGAAACAGCTTTCAGATCAGGTGACCCATTGGTGCTGGTGGAACAATGAAAAGAGAAGGAGGCTTTATAGAAAGCAAAGAGGAACCTAGGTAGTGGAAACTTACGCCGTTAACCTCGAGTGCAGGAGCCTGGTCAAGTGTAGAAGACACACCTGTGAGAAAGAGAACCCAGTCCCCCGGGTAACACAAGCAGAATGGAGAAGAAGAAAAGCCCACTTATAAAATACAGCACATTCCAGTATCATAACTTTCATTTGTTTATTTATTTTCTTCCCCACTCTAGTCCTTGAAGACCAACAAAACATCAGGCTCATAAGAGAACTACTCCAGACTCTCTACACGTCCTTATGTACGCTGGTCCAAAGAGTGGGCAAGTCTGTGCTGGTCGGGAACATTAATATGTGGGTGCATCGGATGGAGACGATTCTCCACTGGCAGCAGCAGCTGAACAACATCCAGATCACACGGGTGAGCAGGAACGTGGAGATTCCTCCTGGCAGCAGAGGGTTCGGATGGTTCCTCGGAGAGATGCTGGGTAGCTTTACCAGGACTTTAAATCCCCTGTGATGATGAAAAGCCTGGGCTGTTCTGGTTCGATGCTCTATACTGGGTGCTGAGGGTGGGGTGGGAGGCTTCCAGATAAAGGAAGGGTGGGAAGAAGTTGGCAAAATAAGGTCAAAGTATGTGAAGGATTGAAACATTGTGGGAAAATTGGAAATTGAAGCCAATTGAGACATCGTGGGGAAATTGGATACTTGGCATTTTGAGAGATGCTGATTGTACCACTGAATGCTCTAGTGGGTTTTGGAGACCTCTCCTCTTTGCCCATTTCCTCTTAGAGAACTTTTGGCTTATAGCTTTAGTGTTACTGTTGTTGGTGCCGTCAAGCCGGTTCTGACTCATAGCGACCCTACAGGACAGAGTAGAACTGCCCCATAGGGTTTCCAAGATGGTAATCTTTATGGGGAGTCCTGGTGGCATGGTGGTTAAGCATTCAGCTGCTAACCAAAATGTCGGCAGTTTGAATCCACCAGCCACTCCTTGAAAACTCTATGGGACAGTTCTATTCTGTCCAGTAGGGTTGCTATGAGTCGCAATCGACTCAATGGCAATGGGTTTTTAACTGGTTTACTCTTTATGGAAGTAGATTGCTAGGTCTTTTCTCTCACAGAGCAGCTGTTTGGTTCGAACCACCAGCCTTTCAGTTAGCACTTAACCATTGTACCACCCGGCATCCTTTATACCTTTAGTAGGCTGCCTCAAATTCAATACAGCTGTGATGGCAGTGGCTTGGAGAACTGGTACCAACCTTTCCAGATACTAGTTCAACTTACTGGTAGTTGCGACAAAGGAAGCCTTTGATTAAAGACTGTGAACACATATGTAGGAAAAGTGATAAGCCAATCTCACTTAAAGCAAAAAAAAAAAAAAAAGGCCCTATATTCCCAGCTAAACAAGACTGTATCAGTAGTTTCTTTTGGTTTTCAAAACATAGCTTAGCCTTCCATGTTTGCCGTCTTCTTAGTGAGTAGAGGGACTAAGGCCCACGAAAAATGTGAGAAGGACGCTGGTGTAATCGCGGAAGGCGCACTAATGGACAGATGCTGTTCGGCAGCTCACTTAGCACTTGGCTCTCATATCTAATCACTGACCACCGCTGCTGCTCTAAGTGGTTTCCGGGACTCAAGCTGATAAACTTTGGGGCCGCCCTGTCTTGAGAGACAATAGCATGAAGAAGCCCCTTTGACCTCTTTTAAGTAATTTATTCTGTAAAGTTTTCAAAATGCAGTATCCTTCAGTTTTGTGTTAATAACTTCTCTATGCTTAGTTTCTTAAACCCTGAAACAGAGGGAACAATTAGAAGCCTCAGAGTTCCATGACTTCCTTAGAGTCACTGAGGCTGCAATTTTCTCTTTTCCATTCACTCACTCACGCATACACATGTATACACAGGTAATCTTTCAAAAAATGTCTCAATGATTTATTTTAAGAGAATGTATTTATTATGCATGTTTACCTGATTTATTCTTATAATGTACCCCATTCCCATCTCTCAAGTATGGGCATAGTTTGACAGTGTGAATTTGAGACTCAAATTCCCAGCTTATCTCTCACAGAAAATCCACAGACACCTGCTACCAGATTTCTGGCATTCTCTCTGTAGCCTGGACTGAAAACTTAACTGTTTTCTCTAAGCCCAAGAGAGAATTACCCAGCCAGTGATAGAAATGAGCAAGTCCCATTAGTCCCTAGGCCATCTTACCTCCATCTTCTTGGTATATCCATTTAGATGGACACACTTCCCTCTGTCTGCCTCATAGGGGCCCCCTTAGCCACATCTGCCCCCATACCTTGAACTTCCACAAAGCCCCCATTAGCTGATCCACAAACACTCTTAGAAAGTGGCCATCATAGTTGCTATTACCCTTAATGGGGTGGGATTGGAGTAAGGACAAGGGCCAGAAAAACCCAATGACTTTCCCAGTAATTGGAGCCAGAACTGAGGCCAGAACCCTGGACTCCTTATTCCTAAAATGGCAAGGCTTTCTTAACATCAGTGGTTTCCAAACTTTTTTGTAGTCCATCTTTCTTCCAACTTTTTATCCAATGATCCAGCTTTTTCCAAACCTTTTCAATCCAATAAAATCTCATTTAGAACAGATCAAACACCGAAGTCTATCACACTCCCCCTCTGCTCACTGCATCGTGGCCAAGCCAGCCTTTTCTCCGCACACACCAAGCTTGTGCCTGCATTGCGGCTTTTACGCTCGCTGTTCCCTCTCCTCTGCCTGGAATATTCTTTGTGCTCATCTTGGCACAGTTGGCTTCTTCTTGACTTCTGGGACTCAGTTCAAACGACACCTCACAGCAGCCTTTCCTAACCGTCCAGTCTAATGAAGCCACTATCATATCAACTTCTTCAGAGCAATTACTGTGATCTGAAGTTACCTCATAGGTGTAGTCACTTTTCTGTAACCATCCACTGGCTTATGAACTCCACGAGGACAAGGATGCTACCCATCTCGTCCCCTGCTCCATTCCCAGTACCTGGTGCAGAGTACGAGGCGTTAATACATGTTAGTTGAATGAGTAAGTGTTTGGAGGGGAGTCTGCTCGCACTGCCCACCTGAAGCACTTGTTCCATGGTCAGAGGAACGCAATTGGGAAATACCGCCCTGTCTCATGGGTGATAAGGAGCCCTGGTGGTGCAAATGGTTGAGCCCTCCGCTGCTAACTGAAAGGTCAGTGGTTCAAAAGCACCCTTTCTTCGCAGAAGAAAGGCCTGGCAACCTACTCTCGTAAAGATTACAGCCAAGAAAATCCTATGGAGCAATTCTACTCTGTAACACATGGGGTCACCATGAGTCGGATGATTATGATAAATTTATCAGCTATAGGACTTGGGGCAAGTTATTCAATCTCCCTGTGCCTCGCTTTCCTCATTTGGAAAATACCTACCTCACAGGCCTGGTGTGAGATTTTATAAGTGTATATATAGAAAGCACTTGGAACGGTGCCTGATGTATAGTGTTTTAAATGTGTTAGCTGTTGTTATTATTAAGGGCTTGCTCTGTGACAGATAGTCTTCTAAGTGTTTTACATATATTAATTAACTCATCTAATGAATAATTGTTAGTGGTAGTCATAATAATAGCTAATATTTTGGGGACATTGTGCTAAGTACTGAGGAGTCCTGGTAGTGCTGTGGTTAAAGTGCTTGGCTGCTAACCGCAAGGTCGGCAGTTCGAACCCACCAGCTGCTCCATGGGAGAAAGATGTGGCAGTCTGCTTCTGTAAAGATTAGAGCCTTGGAGACCCTACGGGGCAGTTCTACTCTGTCCTATAGGGTCGCTCTGAGTAGGAATCGACTCGACAGCAAGGAGTATGGGTTCTAAGTACTTATATACATTATCTCATTCAGTGTACTCAGCAACACTGTAAGATATCCTTTTCCCCATTATATAGAAGAGCAGAGTTAACCTGAGTAGGAAAGAATAATTTGACCTGGGCTTCACAGCCTGTAAGATGTAGCTCGGGGATTAAACCCAGGCCTGTCTCCAGGTACCCCACTCCATTATATCTTCCTCCTTCCCAACCCTCCTTGGCTCTGAGCTATGTTATTTTGAGACCAGCACTAGGTACCCTTCAAGCCTTGAAGAGTTTTTCACACCAAGGCCCAACCTTCAGAAGAGAGAAAGAACCAGAGAGAGGACTTAATTACTTCAGTCTGGATCGTAATTTAAAACTTACTCTTTAGCAGTTTGGACCAAAAAGTATGTTATTACATGAAAATGTTAAGGTGACGTTTACAGTAATTGCTTTCTATTTGCCCAAGTTCTTTCAGTATCTTCTCAACACATGATGGTGTTTTCCTTCAGATTTTTCATATCTAATTCTATAGAGACAATTTTTATTGGCAAAAATAATAAAGGATGAAGGAAAAAGATAACTGGTTTGTGGAAAAGAAAACCAAACATAGTTACAGGGCACTGTGTGGAAAGGCGATGTTCTGAAGCATGTTGGGGGCCCGGGGTGGACATAAATGGATTTTAGACAAATGGTTGGAGGAATAAGTGTGACTTGTTTTTCTTTTATATGTTTACATCCCAAAAAGAAAAAAGCATGCAAGGAGTTAACTATTTATCAGGAGTCAGAGCTCAGCATGTGTTCTGGGCAAGGATTTTGGAAAAGCTCAGGTTTGCAAATTTGACAGGCGTGCACTCCGCCCAGTGTGCTTGCCTTTAATAGGAGTTAATGGAATAATTGGCCTGGGAGTTTTAACCAAAAAAGTAGATGCTTTGAAGTGCTGGAAACAAAAAGAAAACCTCATGGCAGTTTTATTAACTCATATGATCAGCAGCAGATGATAAACGACAAATAAGTCTCAGGCCTTCAGCAGTCCAGCATAATCTTGAATTTTGCAAACAATTGAAAATTCAGCCCAGCAGCCTGAGGTAGAACCATTGTTTTTGTTGGGTGCCATAGAGTCAATTCTGACTCACAGGGACTTCATGTGACAGAGTCGAACTGCCCCATAGGGTTTTCTTGGCTGTAATCTTTACCAGAGCAAGTCTTTCTCCTGCGGAGCTGCTGGTAGGTTAGCAGCCAAGTGCTTAACTGTTGTGCCACCTGGACCCCTTGAGGTAGAACGAACAGTATAAATTGTCAAGTCAGACACTTCTGATGAAACAGGAGGCTGAAGCCGCTCCAAGCCTGATTGTCAGAGCAGGAAGGAATCTTAAGAGTCTTTTAAAGCCACTCATTTTGCACATGGGAAACCTGAATCCCAGACTTCCCAAGGGAGCCCGGAATCCACTGGTGCTGCTCGCCCAGCCAGTGTTCTTTTTACACCACCTCCAGTGGAAAGTGAGGGTCCCACTGTGTCTGTGAGGGTGTCACCTGGTGAGTTCCTGCTCTCGCCCCCTCAACTTAACACCACCCTTCTCCTCTCAGCCTGCCTTCAAAGGTCTCACCTTCACCGACCTGCCCTTGTGTTTACAACTGAACATCATGCAGAGACTGAGCGACGGCCGCGACCTGGTCAGCCTGGGCCAGGCTGCCCCTGACCTGCACGCGCTCAGTGAGGACCGGCTGCTGTGGAAGAGGCTATGCCAGTACCACTTCTCCGAGCGGCAGGTCGGTGGGCCCCCGGGCTTTCCTCCTGCTGTCCCTCCTCACCCCCACCCTCAAGCTTCCTGTGCATCCTTCTTAAACGTGAGGTGTGGGTGCCCACCCTACAGGGCCCCTGCTTTAACTGGAAAATGACAGTCCCTGGAGTTTCTAAATAATGCGCGCGCGTGTGGGGGGGGGGCAGGTGGCTGGGTGGGTGGGTGGTTTTGATTGAAAAAAAATTCACATTTCATAAGTTGCTCAAAAAAAATTCATAAATTGGCATCAGTCCTTTTTTCATCTAACAAAATAACTTACACTTGTATGGTACTTTATAGTTAAAGTGCTTTTACAGACGTTGTTTCATTTTATTCTGACAGCCCAGTGAAAGTAGGTGCCATCATGCCCACTTTAAACAGAGGAAGACACTAAGGCCACAGATGGCTTAGTGACATATCCAAATTGTTGAGTGGCTCTCTGGGTGAGGAAACTGGCCTTGACTTTGAACTTGGGCCTTGTGACACGACTCTAGGCTTGTTTCCATTTGTCACGCTGCCTCAAGGTTGTTTTGGTTTGGGTTTTTTTTTTTCCTCAGCTTCTTTATATAGACATGTTAGTTCAACAAGTTCTGTTCGTGAAGCCACTAATATTTAGATATAAAATAGAGCCAAGGTGCCAAGCAGTTACCACATCTATCTGGAAATAATCACTCGTGTCTATAGCAAAGAAAAATTGAAATTGTTTACTGAGATCACCTAAACGTTCAAGGACCATCCAAATGCAGTTTAGCAGAGATCACTAATAAGATGTCGCCAGCCACCTCTTTCTTTTAAAGACTGGTTAAAAGCTACTGTTTAACTCGGGAGAGCCAATAAGTTACTTCTTTATATCTTGGCTGGTTTTTCCCTGGCTATTGGAGGGCAGAAGTGAAAATAGGGGGCGAGGGCAGAAATCTTCGGAACTAGAAAACCACAAACCATCTTGTTGATGAGCTCTACTGCAGCTACTTTTATTCATTTGATCTTTAGATCCGCAAGCGATTAATTTTGTCGGACAAAGGGCAGCTGGATTGGAAGAAGATGTATTTTAAACTTGTCCGATGTTACCCAAGGAAAGAGCAGTATGGAGACACCCTTCAACTTTGCAGACACTGCCACATCCTTTCCTGGAAGGTACGTGTCTCAGAGGTGGCTGCCACAGACACTTAGCTCAGCCCCTAAGAGCCACCAGGGGCCCAGCTTGCATTGCCAAATCCTTCTCCGTTAATCCTTATTGTAGCCCCCAACTGATTCAGACCCTGGGGAGAGACTTTCAAACACCTTAATCTGTTTCATTCCAGTACATTTACTTCTTCCTGTAATTCATTGTTGTTGTTGTGAGCTGCCTTTGAGTTGACCCCCAACTCATGGCGATCCCATGCACAATGGAAAGAAACACTGCCTGGTCTTGCATCATCCCCATTATCTGTTGCAGATCAGACCATTGTGACCCTTAGGGTTTTCATTGGCTGATTTTTGGCAGTAGATTGCCAGGCCTTTCATCCTAGTCCATCTTAGTCTGGAAGCTCGGCTAAAACCTGTTCAGCATCACAGCAGCACTCAAGCCACCATGGACAGACAGGTGGTGGCTACGCTTGAGGTGCATTGGCCAGGAATCGAACCCAGGTCGTGAAAATTGTATTCCTGAACCACCAATGCCTTACCCCCTCCCAAATTCTCCTATTTCTGTATACATAGGCATGTGTGTACACTTACATGCACACAGCTCTTTAGCTTTTCCCAGCCTGTGACATTCTTGACCGAGGAATGTTGTTTTGAGGTTGGGCAATGCCTTATGATGTTAAAAGCCAGCGAGGTGCCTCTGAGAACTCAAACCTAACCTCCATGTTCCTTTCCAGGGCACTGACCATCCATGCACGGCCAATAACCCCGAGAGCTGCTCCGTTTCACTTTCACCCCAGGACTTTATCAACTTATTCAAGTTCTGACTCCCAGCACATGACAGCACTTCAGAATGTCCCCTGCTGAAAGGATAGTTGGGAATATGGAGTTTGGACGCTTCGTTTGTAAATAGTGTACATTCACACAGAAACAAAACCCACAGCTGTCAAGTCGAATTCCAACTCGTAGCGACCCTATAGGACAGGGTAGACCTGCCCCATAGGGTTTCCAAGGCTGTAAACCTTTATAGAAGCAGATTGCTGCATTTTTCTCACACAGAGCGGCTGGCAGGCTGGAACCGCCAACCTGTCAGCAGCCAAGCGCTTAACCACTGCGCCACCACGGCTCATCCGTACGTTTATACATTGGCTCAAAACTCCTGAGATAAGTCAATGGGAGGACTTTGGAGGACAGAGATGCAATTGCTGACTGGGAGTTTAAGACTACGGACTTCTCAGTAGAATTGGTATGGAAAAGCAGAAAAGCAGAAACACTGTAAATAAACTTTTTTTCCTAACAATTTGCCAGCAAGACTGTAAGGGCAGGCATTTTATTTCAGCGATGAAAATGGATTTCTCTGTATGTTCACTGAAACTCCTTTATAGTTCCCTAGAGATGTGGAAGAAAAGCAAAACTCGAATACAAGACAGAACACTCTGTTTACAATGTGAATGTTTGTATAAAAGAAGAAGAACAGCAACTACAACTACGTATGAGAAATTCCTGGGCTTTCGGTTTTGATTTTGTGCTTGTTTTGAAAAGGCAAAGAAGCACCGCCCATTGTTAACCTGCCTGGCACTTAAGGCGTTACCTAACAAAGATACCACACAATAGTCTACCTCGGAAAACATACAGCGTTCTGACAAAGTACCTTGTCCACTAGGCAGTGTCCATTTTGCTTCTAAGTTTTTCATCACTAGAAAAAGTGATTTAAAAGTGGAAAGAGATGTTGGAAGCAATCCTTATCTTGTTTCAGACTTCCTTTTTAGGGGAACAGGGCGCCCTTTGGAGTTGCCCCTTTCGTAGAACAACCCCAAAGCTCATGCCTTTTCCCCTTTCATGTTCTATGTAGCTCATTTGGGGAAACTGAATGACAATTAAAGACAGTCCCAAAGGAAGTCTTGCTGCAGAAAAAAGAGAATTAGTCACCCCCAAAGCTGTGAAGACTTCCTTTTTTCTATTTAACTTCCTCACTTGTCTGGGCTTCCTTGGTATCTTCATGGGTTGGTGTAGCTCAGCTGACCGGTTGGAGCCCAGGTGCTGATAAAGGTTTGTGAGACAGGTGTTACGCATCAGCCAATTAAGCCTTTTACCAGCTGCTGTTCCCCTTGGGGAGCTGATGAGCTAAGGAGCTTTCTTTATGTCCAACATCAAAATTTAGTCATCCTGAGCTAGGGCTTCTTACAAGGGTGATAAAATAAAGCCTGGAGGTCCAGCCAAATAAGGAGAGAAGGTACAAGAGTTCATCTTAAACTCGCTTGAGGGCTGGGTAGTTAAAATAGACCCCAGGGGATCTTGGAAGGCAAAGGATAGCAATCTCAACACTTCATTGTCAAATATTCCTGGGAGAGTGGGAAATGGGTTTTTGTTTTTTTACTTTTTATAGCACATTGCTTTTCTACAACAATGTACATATTTTTGCAGTTTTTTTTTTTTCTTCTTCTTTTTTTGGAGGTGGGGTGCAAAAAAAAGTTGCCACCCCTGCATGCCTTGGCGAATAACATGAAGTAGAAATAGGAACTTGACTCACATTCTTGTTGAGGAACAGTGTATCTTTAGGGGTTAAACCTGGATTTAGAGTGATCAGGAAGAGAGGGAAGACGGTTAAGCAGGTACAGAAACAAGGCAAGGGACAAGCTCAGGATGCAATACCCTCTTCACACCCTTCCCCTCAATAATGCACAACCCAAGTACCAGCATGCAGAAGGGAAGTGAATCCCAACTCAGGTCTCCTCATCTCCTCACTTGGCAATGTTTGTACCTAGACCAGTGTTTCTCAATCCTTTTCTCATTATCACCCCCATAAGAAGAAAAATTACTTTGAAATTAAATTCTGTCTAATGAGATACATTAAATATTAATAAGATTTTGTCAGGTAGGGCTAATTTGGGGAGGGCCACAAACCATTGTAATATCTAAGTTTTTTTTTTGTCCCCGCAAGAACAAATTTCACATGGAGAATGCATAGCCTGGACTGTTGAATAAAAAACTAGCTCTTCCATAATTCAGCCAGGTTTTCTCAGAACTTCTGAGTTTCCTTAAGGAAGGAGTTGGGTCTGCCGTTGGTGTAAGAGCTCTGGAACCTTCGACTTTGAGTGACATTTTTAGGTTTAGGGGTTCACGGCCTTCCGTGTTTACCCACCAATCATGGCCTCTGCCTCTTCTTGCTGATCAAGTATGTGGGACTCCTTGGCACCGCCAGGTTTGCAGCCCCAGAAATGTTGCCTGCTTTGGGCAGTCAGCACAAAACTGGTGAAGCAGGCTCATCTGGACTGTCCGCAATGCAAATGATTTCCCACTAGAGGCAACAATGCACATTTGTGCAGACTGATCCCTACCCCCAGGCGATAGCGGTTGCCATAGAGTCTATTCCGAATCATGGCGACCCCATGTGTTTCAGAGTAGAACTGCCCTCTGTAGGGTTTTCATGGCTGTGACCTTTCAGAAGTAGATCACCAGGCCTTTCTTCCAAGGTGCCTCTGGGTGGACTCGAACTGGCAACCTTTCAGTTAGTAGCTAAATGCTTAATCGTTTGCACCACCCTGGGATTCCCACCCCAAGTGACAGGGTTACAGTTTTCTAAAACGTTTGCCAAGATGGTGCCTCTGGGCTCTCCCCAGCTTCTGTGGAGTTATTAGAGTTGGTATAGGACAGAGTCAAAGAAGAATTTTAAGGAAAAAAAGAAGAAACCAACATCTGTGGTCTTCTTTCATTGGAAGGGAAGAATAAAGAAGGAAATGGCAGGTGGAGGAGGAGAGGGAAAGGAGTAGAAACGGTGTATCTCTGATGTTGTGGTTTGTATGGGGACAATGGGGAAGCTCACAACAACACAGTATCTGTGTTAGCACCACATGGTACGTGTTTAAGCATGGCCAGAGCCTCATATGAAAGTAAAGTGAGTTAAAAAGACAAAACTCTTCCAGAGAAGAGTTCTGTGCACGGCAGGCTGGGCAGATCCACAGGGACATTATGATTTGGTGCAACTCAAAGGTTCTGAACATTGAGCCTAGTGTCTCTTGAGAGTAAGGCACAACAGCCTTTGGGGAAAGAATATGTGAAGTTTAGGAGTGCTCGCTATACATCAAGATCTAGAAAAAAATCCGATGATATTTTAAACAAGATGGCATTATTCCTCAACATTGTTACTTAGATGAATCAGATGAATAGGAGGATAGCAGAAGCTAACTAAAGTACAAGGTTAAAAAAAAAAACTCCTGGGTCTATCAGTTCTGAGATGGTATTTGTTTAGTATGATCAATTTTATGTTGACATGGCTTGATGACCGGATGAGATATTTTAGATGGACTCGGTTTACACTGCAAAACTCAACACAAGAGCTGGCTTTACTCGTGATTGTGAAGTAAGGGAATGGGTGCGTGTTGTGTTACTGCCACAGTTCTCATCTTTGTGGATTCACAAACCGTTTCCCATGAGGAGCTTGCTATTAACAGAGGCGCCTTGTTTCTGGAGTTTTTATATGGGAGAAGAGAAAGAGCTTGGTATTTCATTTGTCTCAGCAATGGTGTGATTTACAAGAAGGTAAATCACTTCAAAGATGTTCTACAGTATATAATTCTTAGTGTTCAGTAACATGTTTATTATAAAATATGCATCTGAGTTTATATCTTTCTGCCAGGCTTGTAGGGCAATAATGTCTTGCTACGCAAACACTCTCTTTTATGTGTGAATTTTTCTAACTAATTTTATGCGTGATTTTTTTCCAAACTAAACTAGATCATTGTTTTATATGTTGACATCTATTGTTTTTTATCTGTTTCCAAGTATCTGAGTCTGTGAACCATCCCTTCTGACTGGATACTGGCCTAAAATTCTGTTAGTGTTTAAACAGACCTCAGAAACACTCTGAACCTCCAGGCAAATGGAGAGACGTCACTCTTTGATATATCTTGGGCCATGGATGTCTTTAACAAACAGGATCACGATCCCGTTAAACTTAACATTTTCTGTAGATGCTCTCTTCTCTCTTAAGGAGAGTAAACACTCCATAGTTTCCCAAGGGAAGGAAATTCCTACCCCAGACTTTATACCTGGAAGGGATATTAGAGATGACATGCTGTCTGCCTCTCAAGATGAGGAAACATACCTAGAATGTTCAGGGAACTTGCCTCAGCCCACCTGATACCCAGTGGCTATGGGTAAACCCGCGGGCTCCTGAAGGCTCCCACCCCAGCACCTTTTGGCATGGTTGGAGACGTGAAGTCCAGATGTGATTCTCCCCCCACCCAAGGTTTATTACTGACATAATGAGGCTTTCTGGGGGAGAGCCTGGATGTGATTCTTCTCAAGACCTCCACTGTGGAGGGCACCTGCAGCTGCCCAGTGTTGGGTACCTGGCTGCTAACTTTTCCAAACATTTTAAGTTCCTCATTCTTACTGGGAATGTTAAGGAGGTACTTAACTTTTTTACAGACATCTGATGCTATTGTGAGGACACACTTTAGTGAGTACAACCTGTTGCCGTAAGGTAAGCAGTGTATTTTGACAAATTCATTTTTCCCTGGGTACTTTGATTTTAATTACAAAGATGGCTGTTATAAAGATAAGGGCTGAGCAGCCAGCTTACTTTCTAGAAACTGAGGTTCTGAGGGTAACCAGGCAGGTATGTCCTGTCCCCTCAGGCTGAAAGGTACATTTAATCCACTCTCTCTATCTCCCCATCCTCTGGTACCAGCTGTGAGATCCAGTGAGCTTCCGTTCTAGTGGAAGTCCACTCTCTGCTAAACCTCGCCTTCACTAAACCAAGGGGAATTATTGTATGAGGCAGAGAGGAGCAAAAGACTGTCTGCTGGGCATTTTTCAAAGTGTCCTTGAACTCACGCAGCAAACAGATCTTCCTGACAAATCTCTCAAAACTTCTGCCTTGCTCCATTTGCCCAAAAATGGATGGCTGCTCAAAAACTATGAACTCCCTTGAAATTCCATCTGCTACAACATTACTTCTGGAGTTTGAATACGGCTTTTTCTGTCTTTGAGTAGAGATGTGTTTGTTTAATTAACGATGCACAAGTCTGTTAAACAGAAGTCTCCAAGCAGCGCTCTACACGTGGGAACTCTTTATTCTACCAAGTGCCAATCACCCTGGCTAAAAGAGGGGTGAATCTGACAGTCCATCGCCTAAGCTTAGAAGCTCTCATGTACTTTTTTTAACGAAAAATATTCTATGGAGTTGAACATTGTCTAACTAAAAGTATAAAGTTAGACCAGTTACATGCAAAGATGTTTATTTAATATTGCGTGAGCTGAGTCCTTCTGTATAAATTATTTGCACACTTTTCTTGCATGATGAACTGATTGTTTTTTATAGTTGTTTGTACCAGTGGCATATTTTTGTAAAAAATTTTTGACACTGAATTCTTGCAATAAATGTGTTTCCAACAACACACCCAGGTGCATTTTTTGTATGTGGCAGTTCAAGTTGGCTTTTTATCATGCTGAATATATTTATTTTTTGCTGGTGGGAATGTATATTTCTTCTCCCATAAATCTGTTGTCGTTGTTTAAGATTTTCTAGGAATACATAGAAAAACAAGCTTGTTGCTGGGTACCAACCTGAGCCAATAATACAGTATTGGAGCCCTGGTGGTGCATTGGCTAAGTGTTTGGCTGCTAACCAAAAGGCCGGCAGTTTGAATCCACCGGCTGCTCCTTGGAAACCCCTATGGGGCAATTCTGCTCTGTCCTATCGGGTCACTGTAAGTCGAAATCAACTAGATGGCAACAGGTCTCATTTTGGTTTTATGCTTAAATGGGGTATTTCTATATACTGTTTGTATAGTAGAATGATTATGAAAATGAATAATGAATTTTGAAGTCAATATCCATTTATTCGTTCAACAGCTATTGATTGAACAGCTACTATATGCCAGGCCCTATGCAAGGTACAAGGAGCCCTGCTGGCACAGTGGTTAAGCGCTCGGCTGCTAAGCAAAAGGTCGACAGTTCAAACCCACCAGCTGCTGTGAGGGAGAAAGATGTGGCAGTCTGCTTATGTAAAGATTTACAGCCTTGGAAACCCTATGGACTAGATCTACTCTGTCCTATAGGGTCCCTATTGGTTTGACTCAGCAGCATACAACAACAATACAAGGTACAGGAGTTCCTGGGTGGCACAAACAGTTAAGTGCTCAACTACTAAGAAAGGTTGGTAATTTGAACCCACCCAGAAGATGCCTCGGAAGAAAGGCCTGGCAATCTGCTTCCAAAAATTCACAGCCTTGAAAACCCTACAGAGCGCGGTTCTACTCTGCAACACATAGGGTTGCCGTAGGTCGGAATCGACTGGACAGCAACTGGTTTGGTTTGGTTTGGTTATGCAAGGTACTGGAAATAGAGTGGTGAACAAAACAGACGTGGTCCCTGCCCTAATGGAATTTAGATCCTACTGTGGAAGACCAAAAACTAAGTAGGAAGAAATTTAATTGGTAATAAATGCTATGAAGGGACTAAAAGAGCTGAGATTCCGAATAACAAGGGGAACCTGCTTATGACAGGCTGGGCATGGGGCCTCTCTGAGAAACTAATGTTTAAGCTAAGACCTGAAAGGTGAGAAGGAACCAGCCTCAGAAGAGTGCGGGAGGGAGCATTCCAGGAAGAGGAAACAGCTTGTGCAAAGTTCAAATCACAGTCATGCCGCTTACCTGACTCCTTAACCCCTCTGTCTCAATTTCCTGGACCCTAAAATGGTGTTAATAACAAGTATCTGTCTCATGTGGTTGTGAGGGTTAAATGAGCTAATGCATGTAAGACACATAATATGAGTCAACAAATGTTTATTATTCTTCTTCTTCTCTGTTACGGATTGAATTGTGTCCCCCGAAAGTATGTGTTGTGCAACACTGGGGAAGCCTGCACAACTTGTCCAAGGCAAGGTCATGGAAACTCCATAGACACATCCAAACTCCCTGAGGGACCAAATTACTAGGCTGAGGGCTGTGGGGACCATGGTCTCAGGGAACATCTAGATCAATTGGCATAACATAGTTTATAAAGAAAATGTTCTACATTCTACCTTGGTGAGTAGCATCTGGGATCTTAAAAGCTTGTGAGCAGCCATCTGAGTTACTCCACTGGTCTCACTCCATCTGGAGCAAGGGAGAATGAAGAAAACCAAAAACACAAAGGAAAGATTAGTCCAAAGGACTAATGGACCACAACTACCACGGCCTCCACCAGACTGAGTCCAGTACAACTAGAAGGTGCCCGGCTACCACCACTGACTGCTCTGACAGGGATCACAACAGAGGGTCCTGGACAGAGCTGGAGAAAAATGTAGAACAAAATTAAAACTCACAAAAGAAGACCAGACTTACTGGTCTGACAGACTGGAGAAATCCTGAGATTATGGCCCCCGGACACTCTTTAGCTTGGTAATGAAGTCACTCCTGAGGTTCACCCTTCAGCCAAAGATTAGATAGGCCCATAAAACAAAACGAGACTAAACTTATCAAAAGATTTCACCAAAAGAGTGAAAAGAGAACCCGCAGACTGCGAAAAAATTTTTGGACGTTACAAGTCAGACAAAGGTCTAATCTCCATAATCGACGAGAAAATCCAACACCTCTACAACAAAAAGACAATTCAATTAAAAATTGGGCAAAGGAAATGAACAGACACTTCACCAAAGAAGACATTCAAATGGCCAATAGACACGTGAGGAAATGCTCACGATCACTAGCCATTAGAGAAATGCAAATTAAAACCACAATGAGATACCATCTCACCCCGGCAATACTAGCACGAATCAAAAAAACTGGACTAACAAATGTTGGAGAGGGTGCGGGGAGATCAGAACTCTTTTGCACTGCTGGTGGGAATGCAAAATGATACAACCATTTTGGAAAATGTTATGGCACTTCCTTTGAAAGCTAGAAACAGAAATACCATACAATCCAGCAATCCCACTCCTAGGAATATATCCCAGAGAAATAAGAGTCGTCATACGAACAGACATATGCCCACCCATATTCATTGCGGCATGGTCCTTCACAATAGTAAAAAGATGGAAACAACCTAGATACCCATCAACAGATGAATGGATAAACTAACTATGGTACATACACACAATGGAGTACTATGCAACAATAAAGAACAATGATGAATCTGTGAAGCATCTCATAACATGAATGAAACTGGAGGACAT